CCTTTCGAGTCGATTGTCACACGTGCCAGCATGAAATTTTATCAATCAGGGTGAAAGATATAACTATTGATTTATTTAACTTACCTCTACTTAATTCGAAATAAAAATGACATAGTTGCACATTGAACTAACATTAATTACAGGGGTCGGGATAACCTGGTTGGTAGGATGTCAAACTCACTCGAATTTGTGAGAACGGGAGTTCGAATCCAGACGGTCGAAGAATCCCTGTGTATTAAATGGTGATAGGTGTACGTTAAATCTGTCAGGGTCACAAATTCCTCCACGTTCTTATAACAAATCAATAGTATTGGATCGGAGATTGAACGTTCTCTGGTTAAGGTCAAAATTATGATCTGAGGATGAATGAATGGATCAGGATTGGGTCCTCCCTGAAAAACGGGCTGTAACGTGTGTGTGACTGAAGTCGTCTTCTTGGTTATAGATAGTGCCACTGAAAAAACAGGAAACGCAGTTTCTGCTTTAAAAATTCACTTAATTTCAAGCAGGTATAACTAACAACGACAACAACAGCAAGAACATTGATTAGATATGTGATTAGACATATATTAGTTAAAGTGATTGCCAAATACGCTTTCCGAATTAGCAATTCCCGCATTTAAGCTACCGATTTCTGTTTTTTTTCCATTCTGATTCTGATTTTGTTTTGCTCTGATGAATTGACGTTTATTAGAATAAAAGTTATTAAGGTGTTTATCTTTTTTAGTTCTGTTCACAGAATTCATTGTAACTATAATAAATGAATACCAAATAAAGGTTACTTTGTGCATAACCATTTTTCAATTGTTTTTTTCTTTTTTCTTTTTCAATTCATTTTATATTTTCAATAAATTTATATTTTTTCTTATGCTTCTTTCTTATAGTGAAGAAGATATTTCAAGTCTATAATTCAGTAATAATGACAATGAAAATCATTGTAAAAATTGGTAAAAAAAAAATCTAGGTTAAATTGGAGCAACTTGCCTGAACATGCCAAGTGGCAGAATCAAATCTAAAAGCTGGCTGTTTTATAGAATATCAATTCATGGCATCAAAATCATATATTTAAAATTCAAAATGCTGCACTTTATTGACAATTTTATTTGCTACTCTGAGCCAAACCTTTTAGAACATTAGCATCTTTTCTAAGGGCAAAATTATAAATAAAAAATCTGATCATTTTTTTAACTGCTTGGTAGGGCTTGTGAAAAAGATTCATGTTTTCTGTTCCCTCAAACTTACTTTTCCTTACTTTTTTCTTCTCTTATTTACTTCCTTGCTTATGTTGCCCTTTGTTTTAATATGATATCATTACTTCTCAACTCTCCGTGGCTTTCATTGATCCTCATTGGCTCCCTAATTGAATGTGTTTCTGACATATCATTTTTAACGATTGATGATGAGAAAATGTTTTTTTGGAAATGCATAGATTTGAAAATTTTAGAATGATCTATTTGAATAAGTTTATAAGAAATACTTGTTTTAAAATAAGATGACATTTTTCATTTTAGAACTGTTAAATTTTCAGCATATTTAGTAAGCTTTCGCGAAACTATCTTTAAATTTAAATTACGCTAAATTATGATGTTAAGCTAAATTAGGAAAAAAGAAAGAAATAAGCAAATAAAAATAAAATTTGAGTGATAACATGTAACAATTGAACATTATGACTAAGTTTATGGCAAATATTTACTGTTTTTGTTTCAATATGCTGAAAAACTTTAAATGATATGCAGGATAACAGTCCACCCTTCCTTTATCACGTTAAAAATAGAAAAAAGATTTAAAATGTGAGGTAAAAAAATTTAAATTAATTGCGTAATTTTTTTCTTTTGAATGCTTCTTTGACCTTTCTGACTCAAATTTCTGTCGGAATTTATATAATTAAGAATTTCTAATCATAATTTCATTGTCGCTAATTGGTACGAGAGCTAATTAAAATGAATGGCATAATTAAATGGCATTTTTTACAGGTTGCATAAGTTAAATTGCATTCGGTTAAGTAAGTCTCATTCCTCTTACGCCACTATACCTTTTTTAGATATGAAGAACTCACATTATCATTCATATTTACCTTTCAGCCATCTGGCAACGCAATTTCTAACTAATTATATCTTTAATGGCCCGCAAATAACACGATTCCTTCAAGATAACGCGTGGGCAGATGATTAAACTGTAGAATATTTGCAATAAAGAAAACCATTTTTTTAATTATGTGATTATATCCTATCTTTTGTTTAATGAGACGTCATCATTGTGGACTTCTATTATTATGTTAGCTTAGATAAATTTTCTTCAGAAATACTTTGATAATTGCTTTAAGATCTCGTAAACGTTGCTAGTAAAATATTGCAGTGCGTATGTTTATTCGCATTAGATCTACATTTTTTTTATTTATTTAGGGCTGGTAATTTTTAAATTGGTTTCACTATACTTGGGGTATTTATTTTGAATATGGATACAAATTTCTCTTTTTCTTCTACAATTCGAAAATCATATGAGTAATTTTGAAGATTGTAAAGTTTAGTGATTTATCAATTTTTTGATTATACGAACTTATAAAAATTATTTTCATAGATATTTGAGTGAAATGAAATAAATAACTAATTACGTTTTTTATTTATTTATACTCGCGTTATCTGGTTTTAATTTATTGATTATATAAATAATTATTAATCTAGCTATAACTAATTATTATTTTCATCTATTTATACTCATATCTGACTTTATTTAATTGACTATAAATATAAATAATTTTTTATTTAACTATAAATAAACAAATAAATTATTTGTCTTTTTATACTCAAGTTTTTATACTCGACTTTAATTTTTGAACTGCGGACTTATTAAAATTTCTATTTAAAAGTATTGATTAGAAAGAAATTTTTTCTGATCGTCCTAATAGGCTAGTATAAAAAACGATACTATTTCATTATAAAATTGGAAGAAATATTTTGTTATTAAGCGCAATAAGGATTCACGTTGATTTAAGATTTCATCATTTATGTCTTTTTAAAGTTTAGTTATCATTAAATTTGCTCATAACAATACAGTAAAAATATCTCAAAAAGCGTTAAATTCAGGAAGTTCGATCGAGGTACAAACTGTTAAGTATTCTCTCCTAAAAAAAGTAACAAAAAGTTGCTCGACCTCGTTCTTCAGGTTTTGGTGAAAGATGGATCTTCATATTGTGTAATTAAATTAGGTTTTGCTTCCGATGTATTTGTTTACTTTGAATAATTAAAGATTCACGGTTATAGGTCTAATAATTTAGGAACTATAATGGTTTTAAATACAAAAAAAATAGCAATTTTTAGCTTGTATTTATTTACGTATCTAATATTGACATGTAGATAAATGTCTACAATGTATTTTTTAACGCTCAATCAAATGAGATCAAATACGAGTCAATAGGACTAGTATTTCAGAGATGCAAAGGTTTTTATGTATTAAAAGTACGATTTTTGGCTTTCACTTATTTGCATGGTTGTAATAGGTGTTTAGACAATAAAGGTATTATTTCCAATGTATTTTTCACTCTGATTGTAATAAAATTACGAGGATCGGTTAACAGTTTAGAAGTTATAGATGATTTATTTATGAAATCTTTATCTCTATATTTATATATCATAAAATTATTCCTGCCTCCTCTTCAGTTTAAATACAATGCGCGAAGTCATGCAGCTTTTTACCACATACTAAATAAAAGTTAAATGAACAAAACAGTTTGCTGCAGTGTAGAACTTTTCGAGAATGTTCCGTGTTCAATAATTTTTGAGTTATCTTTACTGTGCGATAAATAGGTATGGGTAAAAAATAATTTGACTTTTTATAAATGAAACTCCTATAACTTCTAAACTATATATCCTATTGACTCGATTTTGGGCTCATTGAGAGATATACAGGTAACAATATTTCGTTTTATTTATATCACGTAAACAGTTGCATAAGTAGGTACAAATCAAACATTGTACTTTTTTGTATATATAACCATTATGATTTCTAAACTATTAGTCCATTTCATTTCATTCAACAAGGGATTAGAAAAAATGAATGGAAAAAAGTAGAAAGGAAAAAGAAAACGGGACCAATGCATATAAACATCAATATTAAAGTTTGTCACTCTTTTTTACCTTTTATTTTAAAACCTGACTCCCAGGTAGAACTACTTTTTACCTTTTATGACAGAAGAATACTTAAAAGTTCGTTATTGTTGGGAATTTTTTTTTTAAAGTCTGGATTAAACAATTTTTTACTGAATTTTTTTAAAAAATAAAATATATATGTAAAATTGTTTCCCGATCCCCACTTATATAGGACTTTTCTCCAGAACAGAGGCTTCTTCACTGAGGAAATAATGTTAGTCAGGAAATCCAAACTACAAATAGTCTCTTTTTATATGATTTATGTAAATCACACCTTTGAGTCTCTCCATTAAAACTTCCATACATTTTATTTCTTAAATCAAATAGTATAACATTCAGAAATTTTTTAATGTTCTTAAAATGTAGATGCGAAACTAACTAAAACTAAACCAAAAGGACTAAAAAATTTATAAATTTAAATTAAGAGAACTGAAGCAATGAAAACTAATTCAGGATGATGAGAATGAACATAAAAAAGGGAAAACTAAATTTTTGAGGAATACAGTGATAAGCTATATTTTTTTTGTCAAGGTGATATTTTTAGATTAAGTATAATACTTTCTATTGTAGTTTCCAAATAGGTATTTCATAAGTTTCTGAATTTTCCTCTAGATAACAGTACAATACATCGAAAATTTTCGTTACATACGCAAAAATCATGGGTTGTTTTCGTTTTCACAATGAAAGCTCTCTATAACAATAGGAAAACGTGACTTATTTTCATATTGCTGCAAGCCTTTCAATTGTCTTTCAAGTTTTTTATCTAGCAACGCATTTCGTTGTGCTTTATTTTAAAAAAAACTCTGCTTTTTTCATTTATTTTTTATTTTGTCTAAATTTACCATTTACTTTTAGATTTTAGGCCATCGGATTGTAAGATTATTTGCCCCAAAAATGAAGTATATACAAAGGTACCTAAGCCGTGTAATACCTGCGATCATTTGCTAGGAAATGTTCCATGTATAGATAAAAAATGTGGAGATCCAAGCTGTCAGTGTAAGCCAGGACTTTACAGGAACCACAAAGGAAAATGTGTAACAAAGCGACAATGTTTAGGTAAATGTTTGATTTGGTCCTCACATCTGTGTGTCATTCTTTGTGTTTTCTCTTTTCAAAAAATGACGTTGGCCTTCCTTTTGGTTATTATTCTAAGTTTGTCATGTTTATATGTTATGTCTCATGTTATGCGAAGTATTTCAACAATTGGCATCGTCTACCAAAATAAAATATTAGATCTATAAAATGTTTCTTAATTGAAGCTTTATTGTCCTAAATTATCAAATACTGCGTTAACCAATTTAAAATAAAATTATTTAAATAAATTAAAATTTAAAATATTTTCCTTGATTGTTCAACTATACCTGCAATGGAAGTTCGAAAACTTTCCTTCTAAAAAAATTCCTTATTAAAAAATTGTGATTGAAACATTGGATGTCATTTTTCCGAATACGACATCGATTGCGTTGTTTACTAGATCTTTCTAAAAACTTCAAGATGCAGAAATTTCGTCAAAATGATAAAATTTCGCCTTCTATACACTTAAGTAATGGTTATATTTGTTCTATATTATAAACAAAAAATCGTTTTATTTGAACTTGCAAAATCAGCAAAATGCCTTGTTAACAAAATTTTTGTCTAAGAAAAAAAAAAAAGATTTTTTCCTCACTTTTATTGATTTATGCTACCGACCTGCCTGTGTAGGTGGCAGGGAACTGTCCTTGCATCAGAAAGGTCCTGGGTTTGAATCCCGGGCAAGGCATGGATGTTTCTTTCTCTCTGTGTGTGTATCTTTTTCCTTAGTGTGTGAATGTGAGAGAATGTGACCCGCCCTATAAACGGGTTGTGGTTGTGTGAATGCAGAAGTCGAATTCCTGGCCATAGATGGCGCCACTAAAAAACAGGAACAATCGCACCCCCACTGCTTAAACAGGCATACGACAAAAAAAAAAGATTTATGATATTATTAGAAAATGAATGTAAATTTAAGAACTTAAAATTCTCTTTCTTTACCGCGTACCCAGAGACCTTTAGTCTTGTTTATGAATGACAATTTTCTCGCATAGTGTATAATTATATTTTTATTACATCAGGTAAATTTTCTTAAACAGCCTTCAGAAGAAAACTTGTCAAAATTATCAATGTTGAACGCAAACTAATTTTAATAAATTTCTAAAAAAGCATTTCGTTTTTTCTCTTAGAAACTTCAGAACCTGAATTTTGTGGCTGCGATAGAGGTGAAGTCTATCTCAAGTGTGGCTGCGAGAGGAACTGTGATAACAAATTAGTGCCTAAAAGCTGTGCGTATGAATGCGTTAGCGGTTGTTTTTGCAAAAAACCCCTAGTAAGAGATGCAGCGGGAAAATGCGTCAAACTGGAGAGCTGCATTGCAGGTATAATTGCATTTGTGTATAAAATATAGTATACACACTTATTTGATTACCATTTTCACCTAAAAAGTTGACTTATGTGCGGAGATAGTTTTCGTTACAGGATTCAAGATTTTTTGCTATAATAAATTTTTTTTCTGAAATAACGATACAAGTTTTTGTTTCTTTTTGAGTGCTGCTTTTGAAAGAGCTAGAAATGCCCTTTTAAGATATTAATTTTCTGGAGTTTCGAAATTTGTGTATTTTATTTAAAAGAGAAAAAAAAATATTGATACATTTAACAACACCACATCTTTGTTGCAATAATTCAAATAGAAACTATACTCATAATTTCTAGAACTAATATTTTCAAAATGCTATAAAAGGTGTCCAGCATGAAAACTGCGATTATAGACATTAAAAATACTGATGTAAAGATCTTCATCAGGACACATCCTTTACAATAAGTGCGATATTTCTGAATAAAGAATAATTATCCTAAAATAAAAATTACACTCTATATAAATATATATGTTTCAAAAATTGTTTATTAACTATTTTGCTTTAAAAACACTTTCCACTTAAGCCATTTAAGGTTGAACTAAGCTTTGCTATTAGTTACTAGTTGAGTAATATTACTTACTGAAAAATGCAATTAAAATCATTATTTTTCGAGATAAAAATGAAACCATATCTTAAGAAAAGTTATTTTAAATTGTGTTATAATTAGTAGTAATGTTCAAACTGCTATTTTGGTACAAAATATTCGAAAAATAATGTATTTATATTTTCTACATTACAGGAATTGAACAGTCTTCACAAGAATCTGCAGTTTGGTCAATAATATATGATGAAGGTAGGTAATTAGTCTTTAAAACTTTATTCAAATTTAGCGACAACTATATTTGAACCATCGTTTATCCTGACAGAGCATTGTTTTCTTTTAATAAATTTAGATGATGAAGAACGTAATCAGTCATCAAGAAGGTCTTCGCATAAGCCACATGGAAGAGGTATTCAGAATAAGAGTTGAACATTTTGATAAACATATTTTATGCATTGCATTGTAATGATAATACTTTAAACTGTGTTTAAAAGATTATCATTACAATGCAATGCATAAAATAAATGTTAAAATATTATCCATATTATACTTGGTTTCCAAGTGCCGGGTAACGTCCTACATGTTACCGACTGGGAGCGACTATTTTACAGCTCTTTCACTATTTCAGGAGCTGCTAAAAGCTTATTATATTTTTTTTTGTTATCACATTAAAGTAGTCACCACGAGAAATAATTAATTTTGGACGATCAGTTCGAAACGACGTGTTTCGATACTTAATTCACATTTCTTGTTATGCAAATTTTAGAATTAAAAAATTCTTCGCACAATTCGTTTAGTAAAAGTGTTTAGTTCGTTTAGTAAATTCGCATCTTGAATAAATGACCATGACTGAAAAATAGAGCCATGAGAGACTAAGCACCTTAAAAGGTGCTTTCAATCCGAAAACAATACGCATGAAGTTGAATATATATTTGTTAGCTACTTACCAGATTTCTCAAGTAAATCTGTCTAAGGATAAAGACCAGTATGTATTTTTATTTCCTTCTATTAACGATGTTTATTTTTAAAACAAATCCGATGAACAAAGTTTTGGATCATTGTGGTGTTTTCTGCTTGAAAATTTGCAATGGACTATACATACATTATGGACTGTTTTGCTTATAAATATTCTTGTAAAAAATATTTCTTATGCTTATCAATATCAGGCTTATCAGTGTTCTGGATAAACTAAAATAACCAATATCAAAATGTTCTCTTTTTCAAAATAAAAAATAATATATTTATCTATATGTTTGCAACTACAACAAACTTGATCCTTATATTTGTACTCATAGTCAAAGCAGTCAGAAATTATTGCAAATTGTTTTAAAAGTGTTCTCAGATAAATAAAGTAAATCTCTTTAGACTTTTGTTTGCAAAAAAATAAATAAAATTTCTTGTTAATTCTATTCAAAATGATTGTAAAAAAATGCATGTTTAATATTTTAGGGAAAGGTCACTTTTCAAGGAAATCTTCATCGAGATCCTCCGAGTATGACGAAAGTAATTAGCATTTATAACATTCAGAAATTTAACACAAATGATTCATATTTGTATTCAAACACATGACACAAAATGTCAAACATAAAATACTAAATTCTGTCACTGTCAACAGAACTTTGAAACATACATTTTCTCGAATTTTTCAGATGATGAAGAGCTCAATCAATCATCAAGGAGGTCTTCACAATGGGTATCAGAACAAAGACGGGGTATTTTAAATGAGATTTGAAGAATATTTTAAATATTATCTGTAATGCATTATTTTATAACATATAGGAGATCATATTAAATGTAGATTGAGTTCGATTTACAAAACGAATGTTTAATCTGTCGGGAAGAACATACAAGGAGATAACATGTTGAATATAAGAACTAGCATGAAATACATTTGTAACATAGAATTTCTCATATTAAGAACTCTTTTAAATTTAATAAGCATTTTGAATTTGCTGTAATGCAAAATAAAAATTAAACTATAAAAATTTCGGATCAAAAAGTATCGGCATTCAGGGTGTCAATACTTTTTACCGTAAAATCCATTTTTACCGGAACATGTTACAGAACAAACCGTAATGATATACCGTAATTTTTATAGTAATGATTGGTGTAAAATCACTTAATCACTCCAATTAAATAAATATTACTGTAGTAATTACGTTATATTTTACGATAAAAATAGATTTTACAGAAAAAAATGGATCTTACGGTAAAACGGATTTTTCGGATGATGAACCCAAAGATGATGAACCAAAGTGTTGGTACTCCATATTATAATTTGATCCTTAATTTTTTTCCGTCTAGTTCATAACCATTTTACAAAAATCAGGTAAAAAAGTTTTTATTAAAAACATTTTTTGCATTATTAAAAAACAGCAACTATTATTTATGTTTGGTGCTACAGATTTTAGTCATCGACCAAAGTTACAAAAATTGTTTTACAGTTGTTATCTTAAAAAAGGTAATAATTGCCGACTTTCTAAAAGCACAAACAGTATTCAAATTGTGTAAAAAATAGCATATAAGAAAATACGGAAGAATAGACTGGAGAAGGAAATAATTTCTTTTTTATTTTACAAAGTGTAAGCTTAAGATTTAATTTTTGTATCTAAATGACTAATAAAGACTTTTTTATTATTAAAAATTTTTCGGTTTCCACCTAACTAACCATAGCGCTTATTACAAACATTCAGAAATTCTAATTAGTTAGCTGTAAAGAACAAGAAGTTCAATAAAATCGATGAACTTTGTTTTGATCATATTTCAAATAAATATCGTTTAAAATGTATGTTAAATCTTGTATAGTGCTCAAAATAAAATTTAAAAAAATGATCACTAGAAATAACTTTATAATGATCGAATTTTCTCTTATTAGGATTCAATATTAATAAATCTACCGTTTAACCTTAAATATGGTATTTCAAGTTACGAAATCAGACAGCAAAACACACTGAGCATATAAATGAATATAATTTTTCGATAGATTTGGATATTAGACCCTCACAATATGGAAGTCGCCCAATCTGGAATATATAGTCCAAATAATTTTGACCGCTGGACATTTGAAAGTTTTGACCACTTAATGTTGTTGTTGTCGTCGGCCATCAAGTCGGACGGAGTGAGATTGTTCTTGTTTTCCAGTGGGGCTATTTATGGCCAAAAATTCGACTTCTGTCGCACCCATACGTCTCACCCGTTTATAGGGCGGACCCATTCATACATCCATTCATTCATCCACAGATCGCAATTTTGACCTGAACCAGAGAACGATTAATATCCAACTGAGTACTCCCAGAGGTATTGATTTATTTTGGTAGCATGAAGAACTTTGTGACCCGACAGATTTAACATGCACCAGTCACCATTTACTACACGGGGAGACTTCGGCTGGCTGGATTCGAACTCCCTATCTCACGAGCGTGAGTCCAGGGCCCTGCCAACCAGGTTATCTCGGCATACCCCTTAATGCCAATTTCACTTTATATATATTTCACCATCACAAAAAAGTTACGTTTTTAAACATTTATATATCAATGAATAATCGACCGATTTCCTTCAAATTTTGGATTAATCTTTTTAGCTACGAAGTTTTAAAAAGTGTAAAAGTTTGTAAGCCTTAAAGTTGATTTGTTTCAGCTCACTGTTAAAATAAATAACAGAAAATTATCAAAAAATTATGAATAACTATTTTTTGCATGGAATTATGTTTGAATCAGCATGTTTATAATCGTATGCAAGCAATTTCCGATTCGATCCTTAGCTCAGAAATACGCAAAAAAAAGAAGAAAAAAAACATTAAAGGATATGAACTTTCAAACGCTCTCCTGTTGGGACCATAATTTCTAAATTGCAGTTGCCTCCTACATTTTATGAGTCAAAAATCTTTAATCGGTCGAAAAAATTGCTTGAATTTTAAAAAAGTACGTTTTCGCATCCTATATCTCGTTTAAACTGTCGTCTGCACTCATTAATTATATTATTTAAGGTTAGACTGTAGAACCATTAAGATTGAGTCTTATTACGTGACCCGTTCATAAGATCAAAAGTTATTTCCGGTGTTCACGTTTTTTTTTATTTTGTGCAATGTAGACATCTGGTTAATATTTCAGGAAATGGCCGATCTTCATCGTCTGAAGAATATGATGAGGGTAATTAGCCTTTATATATTTTTTAAAAAAAAGTTTAGCAAGTTAAAATTCAGCTTTGTAATTTTTTTAAATAACAAGCAAATACTACAAAAATATCATTTTGTTAATCATTAACAAAACTATGTAACACGCATGTTCTTAAAAACTTTTTCAGATGAGGAAGAAAGTGACCAATCATCAAGAAGGTCTTCACATAGGTCATCAAGGCACGAAAAAGGTATTACAAAATTTTAAAAATTACACTCATCATTAATTACACTACATATTATTTTTAATATAATGTGCAAGATTTTAAACTAAACAAAACGAGGATCGGAATTTGTCAACAAAAATAAAAACAGCAATTAGTCTTTCATAAAATATTTTATAAGGTTAGTGAATAAACATGTCTTTTCAATGCGAAAATAAACGAAGAGAAGATATAAAAATGACAAAAAAGGTTTTATTATTCACATTAATCAAAGGATTTACGTTTTAAAGAGATTACGTTACAAGGGATTAAAGAACACTGAACAACTGATTGTTCGGGTAAAGACCACCTCCTAATGCTATTGATAAAATCTCTCTTATATTACATTTAAATATATTTTATTTTGCCTCGCCATAATGCTTGACCAAAAAATCCACTCTGTGAGATTTTATCTGAGGTATATGTTACAGCATTTCCTTTACAAACGGTTCTTCTGCTTTTATAGGAACGTCTTTTATTTGTTAAAGATGGAAATTGAAAATTAAGCGTTTCTTCAATCAAGCGGTGTTTCTTTATTCACAGGGAAAGGTTTCGAAAGCAAATTTCAATTTGGAACAGTCTTCTAAAAAATGTGATAAGTTTCTACTTTCTAAATAAACTTGTGAACGACTACATTTGTTACAACTACGACTGTACAATAAAGTTCGTTTGTGATTTAGGCACCTGTTTGTTTTTATTAAAACATCCAATTAAAATAAAAAGGAATAACTTAAAACTTTTATTCAAACTATGAATAACTTTTAAAAAATTGGTAATCATTATTATAGGGAGTATTTTTGAAATATTTAAGGTTTTTACAGAATTTATATTTATTTTAGATAGTTCTGAAGAAGATGATGAATCATCAACAAGGTCTTCTGGTAAAGGAAAAAGTAAGCCGAGTCATGAGGCTAGTTTAAATGAATTATTAATTTTGAAAATGATTAAATTGGTTTTATTTTTTCCATATTTTTAGAAACTCTTAAGAATTACTGGTGCACATATTCTTTGAGTTTTATCTCAATCTTAGAGCAATTTTCATTCTAAACTTTGCAGTTAATCTTTATATCTAACCTGACAGTTTTAAGAATCCTAAGACGTCAATACTTATCCTTTTCTCTAAATCTTAAAAATATCTATGTTAGTTTCGTGGATGAGAAGTGTAAGAAAGTTAACTTTCAAATTTACAACAGGTTAATGCCCGAATTGAATACAGTTATCATCGTAGTGGGGAAATAGCAACGTAAAAAGCAACATAAAATACACAGATAAAAAGCTAAAATGATGAGATGATCTTTTCGATAGAATAAATAAGTATCATCATCATCATCTAACTGCGTTTCTCTTTTGTGACGACACTTGACAGCTAAATAAATTAAACTGGTTCAATATAATTTAATTACAAAATGTACTGTATTTGAAAAATGATTAAACATAAAACATTAATTTAATTGATGAATCATTAATTTAAAAAATTTATTATGTTAAAAATTATTTTTCTTTTCTTAAAGTAAAGTCAATAGAAATATATTTAAATCTGCCAGTTAATAACATCAATCATTACTTGTCTCCATACAGAATGTGGTAAAAATGAAGTCATCGTGGCATGTGTCAAGCCAAAATGGTGTAATTCATGTGAAATCAAAGGCAGATGTAAACTGATCTCAGGAAGTTGTAAAAAAGGGTGTGATTGTAAGAAAGGATTTTACAGAGATAGTTCTGAAAGATGTATTCGTGAATCAAAATGCCCCTCAAGTAAGATAGTATTTTGTTTCATAAAAATTAGATGTAATAGAGTTGTCGCTTTTTCACTGTCATTATAATTTTATTATGCTATCCTATGAAATTGCTTCTTTTTCAAAATTAAATCGTTTAATAGAATTAAAATTAGATGAAATTACTACCAAATATATATCTTGCTGTATACATAAGTCTAAAAGGCATAAAAAGTGCAATTTTATTTTTATAATATAGGTTCTTTTATAAACGTTTTCTTATTGAAATCCGTTTTCATGTAGAAAATGTGTGTAACCTTACATGAATAAATATTCTCACCTATATAATCTATTAAATCAGAATCTTTTATAAAATTTTTTTATTAAAATCCGTTACGTTTTCATATAGAAAATGTATGCAACCCTATGCGAATAAATATATTCACCTTTACATACATAGAAATGAATTACATGCAGCAGCAAATTGATATATTTGTAAAAATTATCTCTTTATTATCTTACTTTGTACTTCTGTTAACCGGAATTTTTTCATCATTACCACGATTTTTTTCCCGATTTCAATATAATTACTATGGCATATAACTATAAATTTGAATTACGAGTGAAAAATTTATGTTAGATTTTTTACTTTATAGTTAACTGTAATAAAATTTTCCGTCTTTATTTGTTTTGACGAAATTTTTTCAATTCAATGAAACTATACTAAATAGGTCTTGTTCAGAAATTCATCACTAAAACAAAACAATCACATAAACCTTTTAGATGTTTCGCTAAAAATTTTAACTTATTAAGCAAGTCTTTTGCGAAATTTCCTCTTGGAGGTAGGGTCTTAAAATTGCATTTTGTAAAGTAACAAAGAAAGTATGGCAATTAATAAGTAAGATTCATTCTATTTTCCCCTATTTAACACATTATTTTGTGAAGGAACGAAAAATTATAATGAATTGATGTATCATACCGAACGGACTACGACTGGTTTTATAATATAGTGCAAAAGGAGTCACGACTGAAGATTTCCTCACCCGTAAATTAGACCAACAGCGTTAATTAGACTTGGTTATAATTTATAAAGGAAAATAGCTGATCCTAAAAAAAATAATATCTTTTATAGAAACCAAAACATTTTAATGCATTTTCTAAGAGAGAGTGCAGCGCTGAATCGGTAATTTTTTTTTTTAAAGTTTTGAAGTAAAGCGGAAAAACTGATATTCTGGACTGTTCTGATTGGGTACTGACAGCACAAAAGTACTTTCCAAACCTCAGAAAATTTAATTATGCGACAAAAACATTTATAAAATATTAGTTCTTAAAAGTTCTAACTTAGAAAGTTTTTGATTCTTTATTTTAAAAACTAAATCCTTCCGAATTATTTTCTCTTTGTATAAATATTAGTTTGTATCATTACTTTATTATTACTTTTTGTGCAAAATAGATTCCCCACCACCAACGTGCCCTTTACCTTCTTGCGATGAGGAAGGATGCGAAATAAATTATGATGCAAAGCCATGTCCCACTTGCGAATGCGTAGGAAAGCCAATTGTGCGTTGCAGCGTTCCAAAATGTGATGTAGATTGTGAAATAAATTACGAGACAAAACCATGTCCATCTTGCGACTGCAAAAAAACAGGTAAAAGAAAGCATTTAGTATTTTTTAATAATAAAACATGACACTTCATATAAATTCAGAAATTACTGTTTGTGTGCGTTCAACAGAAATTGGCATTAAAAAAAGAGAAAAATTAGCTGAATTTGTTTTATAAAGTTCTGTTTATTTAGGTTCAATAAATTTCATTTTAAAAAACAATTCCAGGGTTTCATTACAAGAGATAGTTCTCAATCAATCATAATGATTATTAATTTAAAAAAATTTTAAACAACGGAATCCATGGCCAATTCACTGTTAGGTAGAAGTTAAATTCTTTAATTAAATATGTAAAAAAAATATGTGAAAATTATTTTAGTATTAACATACAATTCCAAAAAAAATGAGGATAATTATTTTATTTTTCATGTCAAATAGAAAAAGTAATAATTTTTTGAACTTTTAACAATATAGAATTTTTTGGAGAAAAAATTTGTAATTAAAATATTTTGTAAAAACAGACCCTTGCATAAAGTGTAAATTGTAGGTTTTTACATAAATCTGGAAAGCATAGAAATATACGAAAATAATGCCATTGGTATGAATTCAAGTTGTGATCTTTATATTGATTTTAAATACGTTGGAAAACAATTGAATTATTGCTGCTAGGTATCTACTGATTTAGTGCTTCGCACTAGAGGTTAATATTTATAAAAAAATAATTAACTTTTTTTAAAGAAATGTTAGCTTTTTGAACTTTAGATGTGATTCTATAAAAATACAGAAGAGCATTATAGATTATTAATGGAATGTTTAGTTTAAGTTAAGCATCCGCTTTATATGCCAATTATTTAATATGTATACATGCGCAGCAAAGAGCATATTAAATCTATGGCTTCTAAAAGTCCTCAAGTTAATTGTGTTGTGGAAGTTTGAAGAGGGGTGCCAGCTCAGGCGCTCTCTTCGTCTTTGTCTGACTGGGATAAAATTACGAGACATTCCAGCCATGGCTGTTAAATGATAGAGATCTGAAAAGCAGGGATAGGTGCTTGACTAGTGATGGTTGAGTGTATAGATATATAGAATGTTCTGTAGCAACAGACCTTCACTATAAATATATAATTAAGAATCTTTATCAAAAATTAACTACGAAAAGTGCACACAGAATCACTAGTTTACATTTAAGTGGGAAAAGAGACGATATCGAAGTGACAATCATAGGACTGAAAACATCAAGACGAACTTCATTTTCAGAAAAATCTATTGGTGTTTCTAACATTAGCCTTTCAAAATCTTTCTGTTAATACAGATTTTTATTGTTTTTGAATCATGTTTCATACTTCACAATATCTTTTTTTATTTAATGAATTTATGCTCCCACAAAATTTGTTTAATCAAGTGAAAGCGAACAGAATAGAACACTTAGAATATCGCATAACTTACAGTAAAAGTTTCGTTTAAAATTTCAACTTACTAAGAATTTAATTCCAAAAGTTTGTCAAGAAAGAGGTTTCGTAGCTGCATTTTGTAAGGAGACGAAAACAATACTGCAATTAAAATTTTATTTATTATACTGTTCCGTTTAATTGGTTTAAAAAAAAGAGAAAATTTTGTGTAAGAACATAAACTTTTAAACTTTTAATTTGAAACAAAAATTTCGACTTTAATTTCGTCGAAAATGGAGAAACTAAATGTTATGAATTATTCATCTTTCTTCTGTTATTATGGAAAATATATTACAACATAAACGGGTTTTTTCGCGGTCCCAAAATTCATTTATAAGTCCGAATTTGTAGTAGAAATAGATCATATTAGTAGTTTAAAAATTTTTGATTTAGAAGGCTTTTTTTTATTACTTTTTATTTTAAAGTCAAAATTTTTTTGCATTATCTCCTCGTTGTATAAATATTGGTTTGTATCATTAGTTCCAGTACCAACGTGTGCTCTACCTGTTTGCAATGAGCCAGGATGCAAATTAAATTATGATACAAAGCCATGTCCCACTTGCGAATGCTTAGGAAAACCTCCGGTCATCTGCAACATCCCAAAATGTGACGTTGATTGTGAAATAAATTACGAGACAAAACCATGTCCATCTTGCGATTGCAAAAATACAGGTAAAGAAAGTATTCAGTATTTTGTAATAACACAACATGACATTTCACTCTCTTTCACACAAATTCAGAAATTTTGGTACTTTTTATAAACGTTCAACAAAATAAGCATTATTTTTTTAAAAACAAAACTGAAATATAAGCTGAATTCGTTTTATAAAGTGCTGTTTAGTTAGGTTCAGTAAATTTCATTTTAAAAAACCATTTCAGAGTTTCATTACAATAAAACTATGATACAATGAAAGAAATAAACACTAGATATAAATACAAATACATTTTTGTATCTAAAATATCTATTATATTCTAATAAAATATTCATATTCTATTCTAATAAAATATTTATATGGATTAGTTATTTAATACGGTGTTATATAAGAGAGAATGCACTGTAATAGTGAGCTCCACCCCTTGCTCGTTGCACTAACCAATCTCCAAAATTGCTCTGCACTTTGAACTATCTCTTTTCACTCTTTGGATGCTTTTGATTTTTGGCTAGATTTGTATTTATGCTGGTACTCTTTTTAAAAGGAAGTCCTGAACAAATACATCTTGTGAAACCATTGATTCATATATATTTCATTCGATTTATTTACAATACGATTTGATTTATATACATTTTGATGCTGCTCAAAAACTACGTTTGGAGCAAATAATTCACAAATTTTTCCTATATATACAGTGGCTCCCAAACATATTCCTACACTTATGACTGATATCTATAATATAATTCTGACAAAACTGCATGTAATATTTCGGAAATAAAGTAAAAGTTTATTTTAAAAAATTAATAATCAGAGAGTAACAAAAATTTTACTTCACAAAAGTCAACTTAGGTTTGATAAAATTATCGTCTATTGCTTTATTTTTTTTTTACTTATTTTTCATTTGTTATTATTATTTAATCATTCATTTATCCATTTTTTGCAATTTAAAATAAAAATTATGGTAAGAAAATTGGATTTTAATTTTTGCTTTCAAACTCCATAATATTTTCTTTTAGCATTTAAAAAGCCTCGTAGTCATAATGTAGCACCAGACAACATTTAAAAGTTGATAACTTGCCATCATTAGTGGTAAATCAGTAATAAATATTGCTAAAATAGTTTATTTTATATCGTTCCACTATACAGTATGTGATAAAACGCTTAGAAGAAGGAATTTATATCAGAGTGATCAAAGATTAAAATTATAAAACTCGTGAAAAATTCATAAAAAATCCATCAGAGTGTCATTAAATATTCATTCTGAAATATTCATTTTAATTAATGGATGGAACTCTATTTCATTGAAAATCACAAGTGTACAAACACTTTTGAGAGCCATTGTATATACGATTATAAATTTTATTATTTTGAGACACAGCATTTTCAATTTCTTTATTTGACTAACTTGAAGAATATATAAAAACCAATAGAAAAGTTAATAAAATTAAAAAAAAGTAATATCACTTATGCTTTGTTGATAATACGTTAAAATTAAAATATGCTTAAAAATCAATGCGTCACAAAAAGTACAGAAAAGTTTACATTTAAATGAATTGTTTTCTTTTAACCTTTCTGTTTGGCTTCACCCCATCCTCTCTGCTTTTGCAAACCTCCAGAACTGCTCTCGTAGTTTCTTTTGGAATACCTTGCAAATCGAGCTCTCTTCTCTCGCTTATTGGATTCTTATGTATTTTAGTCCAGCTTTGTAGAAGGACGGTACTCTATTTAAGGTTTTTAAAACTAGGCAATATTTATATCATTCGAAACCTTTGATTACCACAAAAAGAGTTTTTAATGCCAGACCAGTTAGCATACGAAAAAGTGCCAGGCCAAATTTGAGATAGATAGATGGCCTAGAAAAAGAACTTTTGGCCTTAAAACTAAAAACTGAGAAACGCTAGCAGGAAAAAAATTGACCTGGAAAATAATTCTTGAGAAAGCCAAGAGCCTCCCTGGGCTGTCGAGCCATTGATGATGATGATAAAACCTTTAATTTATATATGCTAATTTCATTCATCTTATGCACATTATGATTTGATTTATATAAATTTCATCTCATGCACATTATGATTTGATTTATATAAATTTCAACGATACCTGGAAAATGCGTTTGAAACAAATAGTTCAATGACGTCTACATACACAGTTATAAAATTCAGTTTTGGATGACAAGACAGTTTTAAGCCCTCTATTTTAACATAAATTCTTACAAAGTTCTAGAACCAAAATAAAGCTCAGAAAATATAAATAAAGAAATTATACGTATCTAGTCGATCTTCGTTTATTTACTTTTTTTAAAGTTAAGATTGGAGTCCTTAAAGAAATAAAAATTAAGTATTTTAAAGAAGAAAAACAATACAGCTCATTTTTTTTCATATAATATTCGAATATTTATTTTGCTTACTTTTTTCCCCTCGATGATTAAGTTTTAAAAAGAAAAAGAAATATGTTCTAAATTTTATTTATTACTAAAATAAAGTAAAATTATCTATCTTATTTCACAACTCCACTGGCGATGCATATTGGCGTGTTTGGTCATATATACTCATATGTCATTTATAGGTATTATTTTATTTCATGCTCAATCGCTTGATATTTAAGTTTTCAGTTCTTGTAAAGGGTACTTATGTTTTTACGAAACTCAATGCAGAAGGAGTACTTTCTCAAATGTAAATAAAGAAAAACAGAAAGCAAGAAAACAAAAAAACAAAAGTTGAAAAATTTGTTTGTGTTGAGCTTGTTAGCCGCGTTTGGCAGATCTAAGTTTATGAATCATGGATACGTCGCAGGGATATTTAACGGTAAGGGGGTGCTATCGAATCTAACGAATTACAGGTGTCAAAATCAGGGCTGAAAACATCAAAAGCGAGTTTGATTTTTTTTATAAAACCTAGACGTACTTCTAACAATCATTTCTCAAGCACTTCAATTTCTCTGTTTCTTCTGACGATTAAAGTTCTGCCTACATCTGTAGTGTTTTGTAAGTATTCAATAAAATTTTTGATATTTTCTCACTGAACTATTAGTTTGGAACTTCTCACGTGTAGGGGAGAGTGGGGTCAATTGTAACATTTTTTACTTAACTATTTTTAACTAACAAAAAATCCAATATATTATTAGTATTAATTGACAGACGAGTAAAGTAGACTATCCTCTACTAGAAAAAAAAAAAAATACCTAATTTTAAATGTTATTATATTAGTTATTAACAATTTTTGACAGTCGTGCACTTGTTACAATTGTCCCCACTTACGGGGTCAATTGTAACAGTTCATAAATTCAACTAAAACATAGTTAATTATACATATTATCATAGTTGTGATATATTTTTTTATTGATCAAAATAGTAGTGATATTTTAGGAGTAAAAATAATAATGAGCAGAGACCTAAAGGGTTAAACTTTTAACTTTAAGGGGTTAAAAATTTTAATTTATGCTGTGAAAGGTGACAAATAAAATAATGCACATGCAACATAATATAAATGATATAGGAAACTATTGGTGGTTCTTAAAGAGTTAAGTAATGGTTTGTAAACATAAGATTATTTATTTTCAGCTGTTACAATCGTCCCTTTACTTATTGTTACAATTGTCCCCAAGACGCCATTTCAGCTTCATTTGTTAAAAACAATGCTAGTTAATTAGCAAAACTAATCTTTTTTTTATTGAAATGTTAATTAAGGTGTCCACTTACATATTCGGTTACTAATTTTTATTTGTTTAAACAAAATTACTTTGTTACAATATAATATTCTAATACCAAAAAAAGTACTTGCGTGGCGTGAAAATATCTTTTGTGATGTAACTCTTTCAAAAGTACATAAAAATGGTTGCCATCAGGGGTGTACATGTAGATTTATTAAATACACCTTGTGCGCCACCTAGGAACCAAATCTAGAATCCGACACTCGAAATTTTTGCTCTGTTACAATCGTACCCTGTTACAATTGACCCCACTCTCCCCTATACTTTTCTGGACCTCCTTCTTGATAAGGATTTTAAAAATGCGTACTAAATCTGTTCCTTAATCTACTGGCCGCTAGTAAATGGGCAAAATTGGAGAATGTTTCACCCAATACACTGATTTCCTATCTTATAACATGGAAAAACCGGTTTTGCTATGCGGAGAAGGCTGGAGGTTAAATTACAACTTTTTACGTACTGAATTATCAGTGGGTTAATTTACGAGCACACTTTTATTAGGTCTTCTTTCAATTGTTATGACACAATTTTCCTTCTTTATCTCCATTCTTTTTAACTTCTCGACCTGTTGTAATTGAGTATTATTATTATTATAGGAGGTGCACCGCCAGTATCGTGTTCTCCACCTAAATGCGATAAGCCAGGATGCAGAATAAATTATAAAACTAAACCATGTCCTAGTTGTGAATGTAGAGGAGTGTCCTGCACCTTGCCAAAATGTGACGGCCCTGGTTGTGAACTAGATTACGAGACTGAACCATGTCCATCCTGCAAATGTGAAATTTCAGGTAAAGACGCGAATTTAAAAGCAAGTTTTAAATTATGTATAAACATAATTAATATTCAATTCAAATTAATATTCATTCATAAATTGATTGTAATAATAATAATAATAAATCAAAGAAGTAAGATTTTACTCCAGGATATATCAAGCAAGTTCTACTCAAACTAATTTGGAAAGTACGAATGCAACGATATTACTAATTATGTTACTATTTTTACTAGTTTATTTAAATTTAATCGCATTTATAAAACATATTTGAAATCGATAAAAAAATTTAACTCATATTTGATTCAGACTTAGCACTTGACCTTACTAAAACATTTTAAGAAAGATTTCTTTAGGTTACAAAACTTTATATTTCTTCCATTTCCATTTGTCTTTTCAATCAGAGTTCATTTCATTATTTAAAAAAAAAGCAATTTCGAAAATCTACTCCGTACTAACTCATCAAATACATAAACTTTCTTTTAAATTCTTTAAAACAGTATAAGCTTTGTAAGTAAAATTCGCGATTCTAATAGTGTTCTAACTCGAGATTCTAATAGTGTGTAACTTTCTTTCAAAGTATACGCAAATTATTGACAGAAATATTGATTCCGAAATATATATTGACGTTAACACTTGTTAGCCAAATCGAAGGAAAATAGTGACTAACTGTTAAATCCATAAGTGTCTTTCCTTTACTCCAAAATTATGTTTCCTCTGCTTCCTCACTCTAAAAAGGTATAAAATATGTTGCACCGGAAACGCAAAATATATTTTGCACAATTAATGCCAGAAGTCTGTCGGTCATAGATTCTTAGATGAAAGTCAAAAATGTTTTTTCCAAATGTTTCTTATTTGTATACATGTGTAATTTCTTCCTTTTATAAAGCGTACTAGCATTCATATTATGTAGTGTATTTTTACAATTTATTGAGAAAAAATATGAACAAAACTAGCTCAGAAAAAAAAAGTATGGTCAAGATTATGACAAAATTTGTCGTATTTCTGGTTCTTAGCAAACATGAAAAGCTCAGTAATTTTTACAGAAATACTTCGATAATAATTTTGGTAAAATTCACGAAAAAAGTTTCGTTTTATAATACGTGATGAAATTTGGTAAATGCGGTAAAAATTGGTTATTTTATCATGATACCTTAGAGCAAGGCATAAAAACCATTCATTCGGTTGAATTTAATTATAAGTTTTCTATTTTTCTAAATGTGTGGTAATATGAAAAGAAAACCAGAATTTCCTGTAAAACGTTGATATATAAACGGAAAAATTACTAAATATATGGTTTATAACCATATAATTTGTTTTTTTTTAAAACCAGAACAATGGATTTATTTTACCAGAAATGTCATTACCACACAGTACGGTAACTTTACCAGAATTATTTTTCTTCGTGTCCTGAGTGTAGCAGTAACATGAATCAAACATTTTATATTTGCTAATAATAATTGAATCTCATTAATAACTTTATTATTATTATTATTATTATACAAGGTGCACCACCAATATTGTGTTCTCCACCTAAATGCGATAAGCCAGGATGCAGAATAAATTCTGAAACAAAGCCATGTCCTAGTTGTGAATGCAACGAAGTGTCCTGCAGCATGCCAATATGTGACGGCCCTGGTTGTGAAATAGATTACGATACTAAACCATGTCCATCCTGTAAATGCGAAAACTCAAGTAAGGAAGGTTTATTTATTTTCAAAGCAAGTTTTAAGTTGCGTATAAACATAACTAGTATTCGATTTAATAGTATAATTCATCACTTGATTGTAATAATAATAATATGAAATCAAAGAAAATGAAGTTTTTCTCCTTGATACGTTAAGCAAGCCTCACTGAAACTAATTTGTAAAGTCTGAATTCAAAAGTATAACTAATTATATTGCTATTGTTACTAGTTCATTTAAATTTAAATGCATTTCTTAAATATGTTTGAAGCCTGTGCAAAACCCATAGCTCATATCATTATATTATTTTAGTGGATATCTAACATAATGCACATAAAAAGAATACAAGAACAATACATTTTAACATTGTTCTTATCATCATGTGATACTGCATCGTAACAAAAATAAGCAGAAAAAAATTTCAAATCTTAGAACAGATTTTGAAACAAGGTTTAAAGATTTTAATTCTTTGGAAGACAAATTTTGTTTGTTTTCTTCGATTTTCTCAATAAATATAGACTCAGTACCCAGTTATATGCAAATGAAAGTGATTGAGATTCAGTGCGACTCAAATTTGAAGGCAAAATTCATTGAAGTGGGTGTGCCTGAATTTTACAAATATTTACCGCAAGGTTTGAAAATACTCGATTAATAGGGTGGTACAATAGGGTGGTACGATTAATAGGTAATACATCATTAATAGGGTGGACTTTTAAGTGTAGCATGCATTGAATCATTTCAAGATCGTTTCTAAAACTTATAAAATTGATAAAACTAACACATTTGAGTATGAGACAAAAGTTGCTTTTAAAAGCACTTGGCCTCGTGAGACACGTTTAAAAAAATGCTTGTTTTGGTTACAAAACTTAATATTTTTTACATTTCATATTGCTTTTTCACTCAGAGTCCAGTTTATTATTCTCAGAAAAGTAATTTTGAAAACCTACTCCAATAATTATAAATCAACTTACTCTTCTATTGAAATCTCTGAAACAGCATAAATTTCATATGGAAAATTCTTTTTTTTCTTCCAAAATTATTTTTTTTTAAAGTGTACTCAAAAAATTGACATAAATATTGATTTAGAAAACATTAACACACTTTAGCTAAATAGAAGGGAAATAATGACTAATTGCTAAACCCACAAGCGTCTTTTTTTATTTCAAAATTGTGTTTTGACAGCTTTCACACTCTATAGAGGTATGAACTATGTTGCATAGCATAGCAAACGTAAAATATTTTACACAATTAGTGACATAAGTCCGTCGTAAATTCTTAGACGGAATTCGAAAGTTTTTTTTTCTAATTTTCTTTTTTACTGTACAAATATAATTTCTTCCTTTTATACAGCGTGCTAGCATTCATATGGTATAACGTATTTCTTCAATCAATTGAGAAAAAAATATGGACAAAACTAGTCAAGAAATAAAGAAGCATAAATAAAGGTATGGTCAAAAATATGGTGAAATTCGCCATGTTTCCGGCTCTATGCAAACACCAAAAAGCTGAGAAATTTTTGCAGAAGCGCTTTGGTATTAGTTTTGATAAAATTAAGGTACCAAAGTGGTTTGATAAAACGTGATAAAATTTGGTAAATGGGATAAAAATTGGTTCTTTTATCATGATGTCTTAGAGCAAAGGCATAGAAACCATTCATTCGGGAAAATTAACTATTCAGTAGGGGAGAGTGGGGTCAATTGTAACATTTTTTACTTAACTATTTTTAACTAACAAAAAATCCAATATATTATTAGTATTAATTGACAGACGAGTAAAGTAGACTATCCTCTACTAGAAAAAAAATAAATACCAGATTTTAAATATTATTATATTAGTTATTAACAATTTTTGACAGTCGTGCACTTGTTACAATTGTCCCCACTTACGGGGTCAATTGTAACAGTTCATAAATTCAACTAAAACATAGTTAATTATACATATTATCATAGTTGTGATATATTTTTTTATTGATCAAAATAGTAGTGATATTTTAGGAGTAAAAATAATAATGAGCAGAGACCTAAAGGGTTAAACTTTTAACTTTAAGGGGTTAAAAATTTTAATTTATGCTGTGAAAGGTGACAAATAAAATAATGCACATGCAACATAATATAAATGATATAGGAAACTATTGGTGGTTCTTAAAGAGTTAAGTAATGGTTTGTAAACTTAAGATTATTTATTTTCAGCTGTTACAATCGCCCTTTTACTTATTGTTACAATTGTCCCCAAGACGCCATTTCAGCTTCATTTGTTAAAAACAATGCTAGTTAATTAGCAAAACTAATCTTTTTCTTTATTGAAATCTAATTAAAGTGTCCACTTACATATTCGGTTGCTAACTTTTATTTGTTTAAACAAAATTACTTTGTTACAATATAATATTCTAATGCCAAAAAAAGTACTTGCGTGGCGTGAAAATATCTTTTGTGATGTAACTCTTTCAAAAGTACATAAAAGTGGTTGCCATCAGGGGTGTACCTGTAGATTTATTAAATACACCTTGTGCGCCACCTAGGAACCAAATCTAGAACCCGACACTCGAAATTTTTGCTCTGTTACAATCGTACCCTCTTACAATTGACCCCACTCTCCCCTAATGTATTTTTGACTAAGTGTGTAATAATAAGAATAAAAAAAAACAGAATTTCAGGTAAGCGAATATGAACGGAAAGATTACCAAATAAATGGTTTAAATAAAATATATTTTTGTTTTATTGAGCAGAATATTTCATTTCTTTTATCACAAATGTCAATGCCATACAGTACGGTAATTTAATTTAATTTTTTCTTGTGTCCGTGTTCTGAGTGAAGCAGTAACACGAATCAAACATTTTGAATTTGCCTCAGAGTTCTTTGATTATTAAACATAAAATGAAAAAATTTTTTTTTTAGAAAAAGCTATATTATGTATGTATAAACCATACTAAATTAAACAAATGTAAAATTTATGTAAAGAACTCGTTTAAATGACACGCTAACTAAATGAATTAAAACTATTTCAAAATTTCATGTAATATATTTTAACGCTTAAAAGTTTTTTTTATCTATTTATAGTTAGATAAAATTAGTCGTTATTTTTATAGATAAATTTATTATTTTCTTAGGCCCACCTAGTGAAGAATGTGGCAAAGATGAAGAATTCTATGAATGTAGGCCAACTTGTAAGAATACCTGCGAGAATTACAAAGCTAAAGCGCCCATTTGTCCCCTCATTTGCATCAAAGGATGCGCCTGCAAAAAGGGACTCGTTAAAAGGAATGATGGGAAATGTGTAAAACCTGATAAATGTGACAAAATTCCAGGTTTGTAGTAATTTTTGAGTTATTAGTTTTAGTTATTTGTATTTTGTAAATTTCAGCGAAGATTAAATTTTTTTTATAAAAAAATAAGCATTTTAATCATTCGTAGACATTTAAAAATTAATTAACGAAAATAATCAATATGTTTATTTTAAGTTAGACCTTTGTACGATTAAAGTTGTAGTGCAGTTGCTTGGTGCATGAAAATTCGATTAGTATAGCAAAAGTTATTAAGTTGTTCTGTTTTTTTTTTTTTTTTTTTTTTTTTTTTTTTTTTTTTTGCGTTCTGCACACGACAAAAAAAGTAAAAATTCGTACACTCTATAACATATTTTACTATTTTGAATTTTTAATGCAAACTATTAGAAAGTATTATCTTAATAAAGCACGTTCAATGTCTTATTGAGAAAAATTTGTAGCTTTTTACGCTGCATTTTGTTTCTCATTTTTATAATCTCATTATAAAGGGACTTCATATTTATCGCTTTGTAAAAATGGGTTTCTCAAAATCTAACAAAAATATGTCCAAATTGCTTCGAAACAAATATAGTCGAATTTGAAAACCCTATGCCCTAAATACATATTTTTCAGCAAAATGCTTTGTCTCAAAAATGACATATCACTTACTCATACTCATTTTGAGTGATTTTTTATTCAAATGACTGTGGTCGTAATCTGAAAAATGAGTGCATGCATATTTTTCAGCAAAATGCTTTGTCTCAAAAATGGCATATCACATACTCATACTCGTTTTGAGTGATTTGTCATTTAAACGACTGTGATCATAATCTGAAAAATTATGTATACTGTTCGTTAATGTCAGGATTGGTATGATCTAAATTACTTTGAATTCGTTATTAAAATAATCTGATTTTTTATAAATACATTGATTTAAATCAATTTTGATTTTTTTAAAAGTCATCAATTTAAACAAGTTGATTTTTTAAAAAAAGTATTAATTTATAAATTATTTTTTATACAATATAGTTAACAATGGCTTTCTTTGGAATGCGATTTTTATAAAATCTGATTTCAGTGATATTGAAATCTTAAAAATAACGGATTTATTGTCCT